CTGTTCTCCTCCGGCTTCTGTATGGTCGCATGATCTCGAAGGCTGGTGCAAGCTCTGGTCAGGCAGGCCAAGCCGGCCGCAGAAAGGCTGTCCTCAGAACGTTGTCGCAGCTGCCTGATAAGGAATTCGAGATCTTCATGCAGGTTTCTTTCGGAGCACTTGGAGAACTTGATTTGGTCCAGGACAACCAGGTCAATCAGCAAGCTTTCGAACAAGAACTTGTCAGCCCTAGACGCCAGACTGGTTTGTTGAAGATGATTGAAACCGTTTTCGAGACGCTTCAAAGCCGGATGGTCCCTTACGCAGAGAAGTCTATGCAGGTTGTTCTTTACTGTCTCGTTCGGGCATGCCGCGAGATTGAAAAGGACCAGGCACCCGCTGCCGATTCGCCAGAGGGTCGTTTGTTAACCGTTTTGCGCAATATTCGACACACATGTATCCGTTGTCTGGAGCTTATCTTCTCCAACACTCAGGATCAGGATTGGTCGTCCTACGTGCGCATAATCTATGAGGACGTGATTAACCCCAGGCTCGAGAACTTTGCAACCGAAACGGCTCAGGGTGTGTCAGGTCTCCTCAAGTTGTTCCATGTCTGGGCCTCTGCTCCTAAGTCATCATTCTACCTTGTCCAATACAACGATGCTCTGCTGAAGAAGGTCGTGGACTGCCTGGGTGTCGATTCGGCCCGTGATGAAGTCAAGGTCTTTGTCATGGACGAGATTCTAGTGCCACTAATCAATCTCTCAACTGGCAAGGAGCTTCAAGAGCAGGAAAAGTTGAGCGATATCCCTGCCGACGAAATTCGTTCCGAGGTCTTGTCGCCTTATATCGAGCACACTTTGTCTCATCTTGGCAGGCTCCTCAAGCGCGGTCCTTCCCGGCCCCTCCTGATTTCTGGCGTACAGACCCTGTCTCTGCTCGCGCCGTGCGTTGAGTCCTCGGAGGAGACAACCAGTCTTATCAGCATCACTACTTATCTACTCCGTCAGCCTCCAGACCGCGTCTCTCCGAGAACCAAGTCTGGCCTGCTAAAATCTTTGGAACATTTCTTGCCCCTCTTCAACCCGCAGGAGGATGCTAATCTGTCGCAAGAAGTGTTCGAAGCAGTGTCGTCGATGTTCGATTATTTCAGGGACAATGCCAACAGAGAAGTTTTGGCCCGTGTCTTTACTGCTTTCGCCAAACGCGATGAGGAGCTTGTTCATGTCGCTGCCCTTTGCGAGGACCTCAACTCCATGTCTACTAAGAGACTCGAGGTGGACTATGACCGCCGTCTGTCAGCTTTCAGGGAGGTGAATGAGAACCTGTGGGAGAAGCTCAATGCCAAGCAGTGGCGCCCTCTTCTCTACAACATGCTGTACCAGGTTAAGGATGAGGAGGAACTCTCGATTCGGTCAAGCGCTTCGTTTGGATTGCGTCGATTCATGGAACGGGCAGTTCTCAATGATGTTGAGGCTTTCGAGCCTCTGGTGGCAGACGTCTTATTCCCTGCTCTGCAGAGCGGCGTTCGCCAGAAGTCTGAGCTCATTCGATCCGAGTTCATCACTGCCCTTGGTTACTTTGTCAAGCTGAACCCAGAGCGACCTAATGTTCAGGATATGCACGTCTTGCTTGTCGGTGACGATGAAGAAGCGTCTTTCTTCAACAATGTTCTCCACATTCAGCAGCATCGTCGTCTGCGGGCGCTTCGCCGTCTTGCCAGCGAGGCTGCCAAAGGAAACATCCAGGCTTCGAACATCAGCACGATCTTCATTCCCCTCAATGAGCACTTTGTCTTTGATGAGGAAGCCGACGAGGCTACTCATAACCTCATCGCGGAAGCTGTGACAACTATCGGAGCCCTTGCAGAATGGCTGGATTGGAACCAGTTCAGGGCTATCTTCCGGAGATACCGCGGTTACATGCAGAGCAAGTCCGACATGGAGAAGAACATCATTAGACTCCTAGGCAAGATGGCTGATGCCTTGACCAATGCCATGAACCAGCATACGACGATCAAAGCGGCGGCCAAGGATGGAATGGACGGGCTTGAGACCTCTAGCCCTGTTTCTACACTTGCTCGGTCTATCCCATCTGTGGCCAAGGTTGCTACTGAGCTGACCACAAACTTTACCCCCTTCTTGACGGATTTCATCCACCACAAGAACGAGACACAGATGAGTCTGCGTCTGCCCGCTTCGGTCACAACGATCAAGCTGCTCAAGCTGTTGCCCGAGGACGATATGTCCATCCGTCTCCCACCTGTCCTCTTGGATGTATGCAGTATCCTCAAGAGTCGTACCCAGGAAACTCGGGACACTGCTCGGAAAACCCTGAACGACATTGCCCTTTTGCTGGGCCCATCGTACTTCGGCTACATCCTGAAGGAGCTTCGGACTACTCTTACCAAGGGTTACCAGCTTCACGTTCTGTCATTCACAGTCCACTCGATGCTCGTGGCGACGACAGATGATTTCCAGCAGGGTGACCTGGACTACTGCTTGCCCGACTTGAGTGCTATTGTCATGGATGACACGTTCGGCACAGTTGGCCAGGAGAAGGAAGCCGAGGAATACGTGAGTAAGATGAAGGAAGTCAAAAGCAGCAAGAGTTTCGACTCCATGGAGCTTCTAGCGAAGAACTCCACAGTGCTAAATCTGGCTAACCTGGTCCGGCCGCTTCAATCGCTTCTTCGAGAGAAGCTTACCTCCAACATTGTGAGAAAGGTCGACGAGCTCTTGCGGAGAATTGGCGTTGGTCTTTTGAGAAACCCTGGTGTCGAAAGTCGCGATATTCTTGTCTTCTGTTATGAAGTCGTCAAGGAGACGTACAGTGCACCGGCGCAGGTCAAGGCACAGGCCCCCAAGTCTCAACAGGCCGAGAACCTGGAGATCGACCTACGCGGGTCCAAGCGGGGTGAGAAGAAGGGCACTACTTCTTCCTACATCCACAAGTTGACGCGCTTCTCTCTCGATGTTCTGCGTGCAATTCTGAGCAAGTTCGGCTCCCTGCTTACGCCGGCTAATGTAAAGGGATTCATTCCAATCATTGGCGATTCGCTGGTACAGGCACACGAAGAAGTGAAGATCTCGGCTCTCCGTCTTTTGTCAACCATCATCAAGCTCCCGATCCCCGAGCTTGACAGCAACTCTCACGTTTATTTCACCGAAGCAGTGAAGGTGATCAAGGAGGCCCCGAGTACGAACACGGAGGCTGCGCAGGCATCTTTGAAGTTGGTATCGGCTATGCTCCGAGAGAGAAAGAGCACCAAGCTCAGAGACGGACATCTTGCATACCTTCTTCAACGAGTTACCGCCGACATCGAAGAGCCTGACCGCCAAGGTGTCACCTTCAACTTCATCCGGGCTGTTATGGCAAGGAAGTTTGTGGTTCCTGAAGTGTACGAACTGATGGATAGCATCGCTACCATGATGGTTACGAACCAGACTCGTGCTGCCCGGGACCTCGCTCGTGGTACCTACATTCACTTCTTGATCGAATACCCGCAAGCCAAGAATCGCTGGACCAAACAACTCAGCTTCCTCGCCAAGAATTTGGATTACAAGCACCAGGACGGTCGCCAATCAGTCATGGAGGCAATTCACATGCTGCTGTCTAAGACTGGAGACGAGCTGGCGCAAGACATTGTCAGCACCTTCTTCCTTCCGGTGGTCATGGTGATGGCGAATGACGACGCGCCTGAGTGCAGGGAGATGGCGGGTACCCTACTGGGAGAGCTTTACACTAGGGCAGACCGGGAGCAGATGAAGGCCATGCTCACGCCTCTTCATTCTTGGCTGGAGCAAACGGACAACATGCTTCTCACCAGTACCGGTCTACAAGCTATGAGAATCTACTTCGAAGTGGAAGGCACTGAAAAGGACAAAGAGGCCCGCTTCGTCGTAGATGTGCTCCTGGCTATCATGCAACCTGTCCTCAAGGCCGAGGAGACTGAAAACTGGCAAGCTCTTTACTTCTCCCTTCAGCTCTATACCAAGCTCTGCAAGTCAGTACCGGCGATCGCGCTGGCCAAGGAGCGCACCAAGCTCTGGGCCGCTATCCGCGAATGCCTGTTTTACCCTCACGCCTGGGTCAAGACCTGCGCAGCGAATCTCGTCGGCACATGGCTTGCGGACCTGGCCAAGAACAATGCTGCAAATGGATATGGTTCAATTCCGTTGGCTGGTTCCATGGGATTGTCGCTTGACAAGGACGCCATGCTGCAGCTGATCCGTGCCAGTTTGCGCTCTCTTCGCACCCCGGCAGTCAGCGAGGAGCTCGCCATGCAGTCGGTTCGCAACATTATTTTCCTCGGCCGGTGCTGCGCTCAGAACGGCCTTGAATTCGCCAAGACCGGCAACAAGGAACTTGACTCAGACGCCAGCGATAGCGAGGATGAGGCGGAGGACGAGGCTGGACGTGAAACCGGCGCCACGAAGACGGCCATTCACTACATCTTCGAGCAGACATCTTCCATCCTACGCAGAGAACTGCTCACCACGCGGGCTGAATCTTTGATTCCGAAGACCGCTTCCATCGGTCTTTTTGCCTCGCTCTGCCGCCATCTCGAAGTTGAACAGATCCGTGGTTCCCTGCCCGTCATCCTCCTCCCTCTGCAGCACATGACGGATACCAGTATCCCAGCTCCTCGCTCCTCAGACGAGGTCTTCCGTGAGACCTACAAGGGCCTGGTCTCCAACTGCCACGAGGTTCTGGACATCTTGCAGAAGAAGCTTGGAACGACCGAGTACGTGCAAATCATGGCGCAAGTGCACGATTCCATCAAGGAGAGACGTGAAGACAGACGTGTCAAGCGACGGATCGAAGCCGTCACCGAACCGGAGCGCTATGAGAAGGACAAGAGACGGCGAAACGACCGCAAGCGCGAGAAGAGAAAGGAGAAGGGAGCGGAGCATCGCAGCAAGAGACGCGGTTGGTAGTGGAATAGCGTTGCATGTTGCATATAAAGGGTTTGTTTATACCAAAATCGCACGGCGTTGGGAGAATAGGAGATCGATCATGTTTGAGATGAGCTGTCTATCTATCGTACATATGATTCTTTTGTCTTCACTTCATCTTCCACCTACCCCATCTATAAAAAGTACAATGTATATCCCAAGAGCAGAGTGTACATACTCCAATTCCAATGATGATTGATATCAACCCCAACCAGGACGCCAAACGCTCATCAACTTTTCCAAACCCCAAATACAATGCATAGCCGAGTCAACAGTGTAGTAGTCTAAGCCGACTTGCCCTCCTCTCCTTCACCTCCACCCTCCTTCTTATTGACACTCCCATCATCCCAGAATTCCATGTCGCCATCCACATACCCACGAGTCAACTTATCGCCCTGCCGGGCCAAGATATCCTCAAGGGTACTCTTCTTGTCGAAGAAGATATTCAAATGGTCGGCTATGACATGGCGAGCATCGCAGGACGGGCACTTGATCAGCACCGTACCGCGGTGGTATCCGTGCTTGGACATGCGGTGTGAGGAACGTTCTCCGCATGGCTTGCAGGTGAATGTGATTTGGTATGCGGGCTCCTGTTCGCGGCGAAGACGGTTCTGTTCTTCATTCTGGGCGTCGGTGGATGCGTCGACGGAGCGGTCCGTAAGAGGTTTCGCTGAGGAAGAGTTGAGTCTGGTGGTTGCGAGGTGTGTAGTGACCTTCGGGGAGTAAAGTGTTGGTGTTTGGCGATGGAGGAGCTGAGTGAATGGCCGGGAGGGTGTTTGAGAGGCGCGGGTGATGGTAGCGCGGGGGAAAGCGGACTGAAGAGAGCGGAGACCGCGGGGAAGGGAGGTGAATGAGCGCATGATGTATAGTTGTAAGTGATTAGTGAATAGATGAGGAATTGGTAGGTATATTTATGAAGATGAAGATGAGAGTTGATGAACTGAAGAATCCGAGAGAAGTACTCCGTCCAAATGACGGAGGAAAGCCGGAGTTTGCGCCGGAATTTCGTTGTTCCAGCTCGGGCCTCCGCGGTCTCGCCGTCTCTGTTACTTCTCCCTCTTCCTCTTGCCATCCCCTCGACCGTGAAGGAGGCGATGCATCGATGAGTGTGGCGAAGCCCTTGATTGTTGAATTGGTGGATACTTGGGATACAAACCGATAATCTAGCTGTTCGTCTGGCTGCATTGTTTGAGCGTCCGGATACGTCACTGTTCTGTGCGGCGAGGATTGCCCCGCGCATCAGAGCTGTCAATCATCTGTCGAGCTGGATGATATTTGCTGGAGTTTGCAAATATGTCTTTACGCGCAAGGAATAAGATTCGTGCTCCGCGCAGGGTAGGTTTTCTTTTTCATTTACATTCTTCTATGGCCTACAGCTTGTGGTGTCCCTCCCGGAGCAAAGTTCCGTTCGATACGAAATTGGGTTTAGCAATTCGGTATGCTAATGAGAGCAACATCAGGGCATGGCAGGGAGCAAAACCAACGATTTCGAAACGAGTTGGGCGGAGCTATCTAGCTCGCTGAAGAAAATCCACACTAAAGATGCCTCGGCCTTGTCGTTCGAGGAGATATATCGCAAGTCCTACAACATCGTCCTGGGAATGCGTGGAACGGAACTGTACGAACGGATTCAACAACTGGAACGTGAATGGCTAGATACAGAAGTCCACAAGTTGGTGACCGGGGCCATCTCGCCGAGTCTGCTGCTGGCGAAGCAGCTGGTAGATGCGCAAGACCAGGCCAATGAGAGGCGAGATGCAGGAGAGAGATTTCTGGCAGTGCTCAAGGAAGCTTGGGAGGATCATCAGCTATGTATGAAAATGATCACGGATGTTCTTATGTATATGGTAAGTGTACCATCCTCCTTCATCTGCACTGAATCCGCGTTGACTGAAGGATAATCTCATCCATCAGGACCGTGTTATGTCGACGGACCACCGAAAGCCATCCATTTATGTGGCATCAATGGCGTTGTTTCGAGACCATGTGCTTCGCGCTCCCATTCGATCGGACACCAGTACGAGCGTATACGATGTATTGGAGTCGACTGTGCTGTTCATGCTACAACTGGAACGGTCTGGGCATATTATCGACAGGCCTTTGATCAGACACTGCGTGTATATGCTGGAGGGGCTTTACGAGACTATTACAGAGGAGGAATCAACAAAGTTGTACCTCACTGTCTTTGAGCCGGCGTTCTTGGAAGCCAGCAAGAAATTTTACCAGGCTGAGGGGCGGCGATTGCTAGAGACCGGTGATGCTGCAACCTTTTGCAAGGTCGCCACAGAGCGTCTCTCAGAAGAGACTGAGAGGTGTATTGACACGCTGTCATCACTCTCAAAGACGAAGATCAAGGATGTCCTCGATAATGAACTGATAAAGAACAACATCGCCGAGGTGGTCAAGCTCGAGGGCACCGGTGTCAGAACCATGCTGGACAATGATCGCATCGACAATCTACGAAGTGTTTACGTGCTTAGCGCACGAGTCGACAGCAAGAAGACCCCTTTGACTACTGCCGTGCAGAGGCGGATCGTCGAGATGGGCAAGGAAATTAATGCCTCTGCAATTGCATCGCAAGTCTCGGCCACTGCTGCAGGCAAGAAGCCGGCACCTGGTGAAAAGAAGCCAGCAGAGAAACCCGTGAACCAACAGACGGTGGCTGCCATCAAATGGGTGGACGATATCCTGCGTCTGAAGCAAAAGTTTGACAACATATGGGAGAATGCATTCGAGTCTGATCAAGTCCTGCAGAGCGCGATAACCAGCAGCTTCTCGGAGTTCATCAACCTGTCGCAAGGTGGAGACTCGCGCAGTTCTGAATACCTCTCTCTATTCTTCGACGAGAATCTGAAGAAGGGCATCAAGGGCAAGACAGATTCCGAGATTGATACTTTGCTGGATAACGGAATCACGCTTCTGCGTTACATCAAAGACAAGGATATGTTTGAGGCATACTACAAGAAGCATCTCTCTCGCCGTCTGCTGATGAAGCGTTCCGTGAGCATGGATGCTGAGCGACAGATGATCTCGAAAATGAAGATGGAAGTGGGCAACCAGTTCACACAGCGCCTGGAGTCCATGTTCAAGGACATGACCATCTCTGAGGATCTGACATCGAGCTACAAGGAACACATGCGACAGTCCAGCGACCCCGACCAAAAGCGGATTGAATTGGACATCAACGTGCTCACCAGTACGATGTGGCCCATGGAGATCATGTCCAACGCCAGAAATGACGAGGTTCAACTACCCCCTATCCTTCCCAAGGAGGTCGACAGCGTCAAGCAAAGCTTCGAACAGTTCTACCTTGGCAAGCACAATGGCCGCAAGCTGTCGTGGCAAGCCAGCATGGGCACGGCCGATATCCGCGCAACATTCCAACGGGCCAATGGTAAGGTCCAGCGACACGAACTCAATGTCTCTACCTACGCTATGATCATTCTACTGCTTTTCAATGATGTGCCCGCGGGCGAGTCTCTCACCTACACCGAGATCCAAGAACGCACTCGTATTCCCGACCACGATCTGATTCGGAATTTGCAATCCCTGGCCGTTGCACCCAAGACCCGTGTTCTGAAGAAAGATCCCATGAGCAAGGACGTCAAGCCTACAGACAAATTCGTCTTCAACAACGAGTTCCAGAGTCCATTCATGAAGGTCCGGATCGGTGTTGTCAGCGGCAGCGCCAACAAGGTGGAGAATCAGGACCAGCGCAAGGAGACGGAGAAGAAGATGAGTGAGGAGCGCGGAGCCAGCATCGAGGCTGCCATTGTCAGAATCATGAAGTACGCCCCCTCTTTATACATGCTAGCGACCCACCACTAACAATATTACAGACAACGAAAAACACTAATCCACTCGCAACTCATGACCGAGGTGCTCTCTCAGCTATCCGCACGATTCGTCCCAGACGTCAACATGATCAAAAAGCGCATTGAGAGCTTGATTGATCGCGAGTATCTCGAGCGAGTTGAAGAGGATCCACCTACGTACGGATATGTGGCGTAGCCAATCTTCCTCTCTGCTGGTTTTCTATTCATTTTCACGGTTGTTTCCTTTTGTTTCATCGGTGGCGTTGAGCATACTGAGCATGAATGGTCTTGGACTTGAGCGGCGATGGCGCACGGTATGGACACGGAATGAAAGCGTTTCAGCCTACATAGATGTTGGTTGTTTTATTAACTTGATGCGGATGTTTTACATTGGTGGTGGTGCATCAGGACGAGCGAAGTGATATGCAGTGATGAGTGATGATGCATTGATGATTGATACTGAGACTGTGCAAGACTTTAAAGAAGCGTAGCATCCACACCATCAGATAAAAAGAAAACAGGTATATGTGATATATATGCAAAGGTATAATCCCCCACCCAACGCCTCGAAATGCAATCCCCCCCCTCCTCCAACTTATCTCCACCTCATCCCCACAAAATCGATTTTACAAAACTTCAACCTCCCCCCTCCCCCAAGCCCCCCTAACCCCCTCCCACCTAACCGCCCAAACCTCCCCCATCCTCAACACCGTCCCCTCGACCTCCACCTCGACCCCATCCCCCGGCGGCACCACAACCCTAACCTCCTCAACAAGACACCTCACAAAAACAACCTCCTTCCCATCCGGTCCCTGAACCATACTAGTCCCACCCGCATTATCATCCAATCTCCTCAACTGCGGGGGGAACGAATTCAAAAACGACGCTCCATAATGACCCGCCAGTAGCGTCTGATGCGCATGCAGGAAGCTTACTTCCTCCTTCGACAAGGGACTTATAACATCTGTATCGTCCGTGGATGGTGGCTCGGGAATAGAGTCCTCCGGTCTGGAGGAATCCGTCTGCGATTGTTGCGATTGAGGTTGTGTGTTGTTGGGACGGGAGATAAGAAGTAGGTAGTGCATGCTATGCGCTGTGAGCTTTGATAGACGTTGGCGGAGGAGAGAGCGGATTAGGTATTGGGTTCGGGAGAGGTCAGATTGGAGGATGGAGAGGGTGAGGTTGGTTGTTGCTGCGGAGGTGGAGGAGGTTTGGTGGTGTGTTATTGGGTCGGTGGAGGAGGCGGCGAGGTCTTCGATGGATTCGATCTTTGGTTTTATTTGTATGTGTTAGTGGGTGGGTTGTATGGGAAAGGTATATGGGGTAGAGAGAGAGGTGGGAGGGAGGAGGGAGGGATATATACCTGTCGTCTGACGCGCTCCATCATGCGCTCCATTAAGGATGTCGGCCATGGGAGGAGCTCGGGGACGGCGCGCTCGGCGACCCAGAAGCGCGTGAGTAATTGGTGATCGAGAGCGGTGGATTCCGGGGTGGATGTGTCTGCCGTGCGGTCGACGGAGGCGAGGATGTCGTCAATGTCCATTGTCAATTGATCAATGTTTTGTGGTTTTGGTTTTGGTGGTGGTGATGGATGGTGAGGGGAAGATTTGCGGCGGAGCAGCAGCGCGATGGACGGAATGGGTGGGTTGTGGGTAGCGGAGCGGAGGTGCGACAGGCCGCGATTTCATTGGGTCCGCTGCGGAGGTACATCGCTGCCGCTGCTTTGCCTACAATTACTTGTAATACCTCTACGAGATGTTTACGAGGTGTAATCATGTATTTGAAAGTTCATCTCATCATTGTCCAACATAGGAAATTAGTCCTTTAACCTCCAATCCCCCCATACATTATAGTCGGGCCAGTAGCCGACCAGGTTCGTGGTTTATGTATGTACACCTGCACGAACATTCTCTTCGCAGGCAAGCTCTGGCTTCTTCATGCCAAATCTTGTCTTCCAATAGCGAGCGTGCATGTCAAGATTATCTCCTGAGTGAGCCGTATGTCGATATGTACTGTGTGGACGGCGTGTAGCGTGGCACTCCCGTAGCTTTATACAGGAGCTCGGGGTGGATGATTAAACGACGGTAGAGAGTAATAGGAAATTAGTCGC